TCTGCTTCGATGGTGTTTATATGGAGATTTTAGCTCAATGTAGGCTCTTTCTCCGAGTNTTATTAGTATTAATGCCCCTTTATACGCAAGCTATAGTGCCACATTTTGTTTCTTAAACTTTACCCATTCTGAGATATTGTTTAATATCTCAGAACAGAAAATAAAGAAATTAAACAAATTAGATGCCAACACACACACACAATTTTTCCCTTTTTATTGACTTTTTTGAGGGGTTCGGGAGGTCTCCAAACATGTAGATTTGCAAAAAAAAAAACCTTGGAGGGTCAAATTTGACACAATTCCAATACTTTTCCGTTTTATATACATAACAAGTTGGTAAGTAAAAAGGAGTTGGAATCGGCAGATTTTTTGACGACTCCAACTCTGGCTAAAACACCAAAACTCCACGACTCCAACTCCCGACTCCACAGCTCTGGTTTAAAAAACAAAAACACTCATTGAGTGAAAAAACAGCCACAATGCATTGTGGTCACTTTAAATCATCCACAACACGTTGTGGCACTTGTAAAAACAGCCATGTTTTGTGACTAAGACAAAAAGACCACAAAGTGAAATGAAACCGCAGGAGCTGCTCACAAGTGTTCAGAGTGTCATGAATATGTTCGTGTTATCTGTGGAGAAAGCAACAAGAATGAGGGATTTGGTGCAAATGTTTCTTGCAAGCTTTGTTTAAGAAAGAACAGCAACAATGCTAAGAGAGAATATGCCAAATACAGTCTATTCAACATAAAATGATTTCACTATCCATCTCAAAATTTCTTGCAGTTGAAATTGGTTTGAATGCTTTAGTTAGGGTGCCTGATGTTAATAGAGGACATGCAGCTCACAGAAATATTTTAGCTGTTGTTATGAGCATTAATCCATCAGGTCTCCATCAGTTAGGAAACAAGGAAGGTCTTCTTGATCAACTTATGCTTGTAATGAATTTAGAATTTCTGACAGTTACTTTATTAACATTCAGGACATACCATCAACTTCATTAACACTTTGCTCAGCATCCATGTTAACATCTGGAAGTAAGTAAGGTTTATAATATGTCACTGTAAAAGATACTTTATTGATAAAAATGCAAATGTCGCTCAAAGAACATAAAATGCAACTCGAATATCATGGTAATAGTTTTTGTAAAAATAAATAACATTGCAATATTCTTGATTCTCATAAAAAAGACTTATTTATTAATAAAAATTCCTGACAAAGTAATTACTTTTAGTAAATTAGTTGTTTGAAAATGTTGACATCTTGAGCACAGCAACAGATTTTCATGAATGATTAAATGTTGTTGAAAAGTAACCAAGTTACATTTCTGTATATGGTGAATAATTTTGTTACCTACTTATATAAGATAATTGAAGATAAATAAATCATAATGAAAAACAAAGTTTTATTTTCTTATCATCACCTTGTTATTAGTTAACCTTTCAACAGTGGGATAGTCAGGTATGGTGCTACCCCAAAGCAGTGGAGAATGAATGTGGGAAATTTTTAAAGTATTTTTCATGTGTTTTTTCTCATTACCGTTTCAGAAAAAGATTTTGTAAACAGTTATGTCTAGTATAGAAAAGTCTTTTTTATTGTTACATAATTCATTTTTTATATGAATTTTTTTTTGCAGTAGTTTTTGGTGATACCCCGAAAGGAATTTAACAGATATATCTGTCCTTCACTGTTGAGTGGTTAACATCCAGAACTTGTGGTGACTTTTAACCATAATAAATCCATCGCACAGTGGTTTTTAACTTTAGCAACTGATTTTTTGTCATCGTGTAGAGTACATCAAGTACCAACTAATACATGTAGTTTGACCTTTAACACTTTTAAGCAAACAAAAAAAAACCAAATATGTATTTTTCTCAATACATTTTATTTCTTTGAAACTTTTTCAAGTATGAAAATTAAATTTCCAGGAAAACTTGTAGAACTAATGTTGTTCAGCATTAAAAATTGTAAATAAAAATGTTTCAAGGCTAGAACCAGTATTTTAAAGTTACCAACCACTGTGCGTCATATCACCCTCTATCATGGTTGCATCAGCTAATGTTCAGAACACGTTATGGCTTTTCTTAATCACCGCAACGCATAGTGGTCAAATATCATGAAAGTCATGGTGCAAATTTCTCTTTGTGGTCTTTTTGAGTTTTGAGTCACAATGTGTTGTGGCTGTTTTTTCACTCAATGAGCATTTTCGTTCTTTGAGCTTAACATATATACTATAGCACTGAAATTCAAATAAACAAAAATATAACATACTAGCAGACCCTGCCACGCGTTGTTGTGGCTCAAAATGTATCTATTATAAATGTATAACACTTTCCCCATGGGGGAATTTTTCGAAAAATCTTTTCTTAGTGTATGTTCTCTTGACGTACCCTATTAAAATGCAATCAAAAACGCAAAAAACCGTATCTAAAATAATATAATAGAAGCCAAGTTCTTCACGGTAAGCCTTAATCCTGTCCCTCTCCCCCGTGGGGGGGAATATCGAAAAATCCCTTTTTAGTGTACATTCTGTTGACGTACCCTATTAAAACACAATCAAAAACACAAAAAACCACATCTAAAATAGTATAATAGAAGCAGAGTTCTTTATGGTAAGCCTTAATCCTAACCATCTCCCCCCCAGTGGGGGGAATTTCGACATGTATATTATATAAAAACATGTGTGTATTCGAATACAATGTAGTGTCAAAATTTCAAAGAAATCAGTAGGAACAAACGAACATTACATTTTTATTCATATAGATAGATAGAAGATGATCTGCTTTAGTTCATCCTCACAGAAAAGCAAACTTAGGTCGTTGTACTTGTAGCGCCATCTGTTGGACATGAAAGCCTTAACCTAGATGATATCTTTTAATTTATATGAATGTTTACCGGAATAACATACAGCCTATGTCTACCCTGAAGTTCCATTCTAAATATTGGTGAAAGAATTTTTGAAATCGGATGAGTAGTTTCGGAGATTACCCGCTACATCCAAACTTACAAACATTACCTCTTTATAATATTAGTATAGATCTACAGCTTTTTTTAACCTTTGCCTATATTTTATAATAATGAAATTTAAATAAATACAAGGGAGACCCAAAAAAAACCGAACTAAGAGCGCACTGCCATTCGTAGACGCAGTAGAGAGTTCTCCCGTTACATGAGGTTAATAGAGACCTTCACGAAACAGCTGTGCAAACAGCGTCAGTTTGTAGGTTTACGTTTGAGTGTAGTGTTGTGTTTCTCTTACTGTTATTTTGTTCTGCCTGCAAAGTTCTGGGTGTCCTTCAACATCTTAAAATGATGAAAACGTTGAAAAAATCCACCAAAAAAGTGTTAAGATGTCTGCAAGAGAATGTGCGAAGGAAACGCCCAGAACTTTGGCGATCAGGTGACTGGTTCCTTTATCACAACAATGTCCCCGCACACACAGCATTACGAGTGACTCACTATTTGGCATCTTGTTTCCCACCCTCTGTATTCACCAGACCTAGCCCTGTGTGACTTTTTTCTGTTTCCGAGAATGAAGAAAAATCTAAAAGGGAAGCGTTTTGATGATATGCAGGTGATAAAAACAGCTTCACTAAGGGCACTGGATGATATCAAGGTTGAAGAGTTCCAGAGATGCTTCAAACAGTGGGGAAAAAGACTTGACAAGTGCATCACATCTAATGAAGAGTACTTTGAAGGTAACTGAAGGAATTTTGTAAAAAAGTTAATAAATACAGTTTTTATACAAAAAATCCAGTTGTTTTTGGGTCCCCCCATGTAAAATCACTTCAGAGTTTATAATAATAAAAATAAAAAGTGTATTTAACACCTAGATTTAAGATCAATTATATATATTAAAAGTATATGTATAAAAAGATTGCATACAACTTTACACTATATTCAAATATCAAGAAAGTAATTGCTACGTCATGATCACCAAAATATTAGACAAATTTTTAATAAAGCAAATAATATATCTCTAACAATGGTAGAAGTTTGGAGAAATGTGAACAATTTTAACCCAGATAATGGGTTATCTTTAGATGTAAAACAATGTAAGAAGAATGCTAACATAAAATAGAAAAGATTGTGTAGGATATATAATTGAAGGAAAGATAGTCTATGTAGTTGAAAGATGGTGTGAAAAACTATACAATGATAGAAACTCCTAGGCTGACAAATGGAATAGTAGAGTAAAATCATAATATATCTCTCACATTATTAGAATAAGTAATGTACTTTAAAATTTTTAATGATATAAAAGTATTTTTTTATAATAAAAAAATATTTTAAAACTAACGTTTTTGACTGTAACTACAGTCGACCCCCCTATAACACTGTTGATTTTTCTGTTTTATATGAATTCCATGTTGTACGGTCACTTAGATTTTACAAATATGTGAGCCATTCACAGCCGGGCACATGTATTTGTAAAATTTAAGTGACTCGTACAACATGGAATTCATATAAAACGGAAAAATTAACAGTGTTATAGGGAGTATCTCCAGAAATGCTACCCCAGCGGTTTCTACTGCACCCCAATGGGCAGTGAGTAAATCTAGGGGAACAAAAAGAAGCAATTAGGCAGCAGGGATGCTGGAGGCAGGGTTCTAACCAAAAGGCAACCATAGGAAAGGGTTGGGGGTCACTGAAAACCTTTCCCTTTCTTTTTTATTAAAACAGATAAAAATATTGCATGTAATGGTTTCCATGGTAAATATGTATGGTAAGTACATATATACTGTATATATATTTCTGTAAATAAGGTATTTATATATATATA